GGTGGTGGCGGCGGCAGCGGAGGTTCGACATGTGGGTGTGGAGGTTGTAGTTGTGCTGGGGGATTCTGTGGCGCTGGTGGGGGCTTCATCGGTCTCGGCAACGGACAAGCTAACCCCATGGGAAGTGGGGGCTCACCTCCCTCCATGGGACTGATGCATCAACCTTCACCTGTTACCATGCCGACTAAGTTTGTAAGTACTGACAGAACTGCAGCGTCATTACTCTATGGCTTTCTTACCTCAATAAATTGAGATAGAGAGGGGTGATTGAGGTTTGAACTGCATCTCACGTCCATTCATGTATGCTAAGGCATCAGTATAACAAAGTTCAGAGTGCGCAAATGTCATTGAAATTCATTCGTCTATGGGATCTTCTCGTACGGTATCTGAAGGGTTTTATCGTTTGTATTTAATAGGAAATAGAGCCAAATGTGGGATAAACAAACGAAGCAATAGTCGTTTTACCCTTCAACTAAGTATGGGAGTGTGCTGGGAACAATTACGTCAATGATGCTAAAAATACTAAAAAAGAGTATCTCCACTACCTTCCATTGCACCAATGCAAAGGCACATCTATTCACTTAACTTGAAATGAGCAGAACGTGTTTAGTGTCTGCTTGCGCAAGAGAAAATGGAATCAGTCGTGGAATTAAAACGAGGACTTCAGTATTATTTTTTAGTTGGAGATAAGCCTTAGTTTTGCATAAATTTGGCAAGCTGGACGAGCTGGGAAGGCGTTTTGACCAAACCCTAAATGACTGCGCCACCAACACCCCTGCCGTTCACCTCAAGGATGTCAATGCAAATCATGTTGCTATGCCGTAAGTGTGGCGCGTGTTTGAAGGCTTAAGTGATTTTACTAAGTTTTAACAAGAAGCGAGCACCAATTGATACAATTTCCTTATTGCAGATGAGTATAAACTCTTGCCTTTTGGTATGAAAGCTGTGGACCACTTTAATTGCTCAACTTTGGTATTTGGTGAGGCGTCAGTTAATAAGACGTTCGCATACATCCACGAGGTCACTTCTCTTCCACCGTGTAGGATGTAACTTCATCCCTTTATTTATGGACTCCTTAACAGTCAGCGAGTATATGACTTGAGTAATCGAATGCGTCTCGCTTCACGACGCTGTTACTATTACAATGAAAACAGCGTTTCATGATTCACAGTCACTTAGTGTTTGTACAATTTCAGTTGGTTTAGAACGACGTGTATAAAAGGGCGTTAAGACGTGTATCACTATTCCATCCACCCGTAAAGGCGTGGACGAACACTTGCACATATTTCCCGCTCCTCTCACTGATGGAGCTATGGCAACGAATTAAGAAGTCTGCAAGGCCCTGGCCATATTTGTGTTAGTGAACGCAGCTGTCGGCTTGTTTGGACAATTCTACCAGCAAGGCCAAGTAAATATGCGCACATTACGACACACATCGCATAAACTAAATCCGAGACTTAGGATAGTTATTCAGCTAGCAAATATTTTTTTTGCATAAAACACTGTTCCTCCACCCTCTCCCCTCGCCTGCATCGATGATGAACTGTGGGATGGAAAAGTTGAGCATTGAAATACTGAATGCAACGTGGTCGCTAAAAGAGAATTCTCTTGAGCGGGTCATTAAGGCTGGCTACATTCAGGTTATTTCAAGGATATTGTGGCGAGCTGTTTGTACCTCTAAATCCAAATAACAATTAATTAATCAAAATTTACTCATAGGATATCTGCAACGAGGCCTACTTTCGGTCAGCAAGTTCCGAACTTAGCAAGGATTCGTCGGCAGTAATGAGTCTAGGGACAGCCTTGAGACTACGCTGCGCCAAGAATGGAGGTCTCAGTGTTTTCGAGCCCAACGACTCCAATCTCGGACCAATTAAGAGTCAGTACGCCTCGAGCTCGACCCCTGGTGATACGACCGCCCTCAATGGTTGTTTTTTGCAACCACTGGGACCCATACCACCGAGCTATTGCACGACAGTGATTGCAGTCGCCCTGCCTATCTTGTATATACTTGCTGTCATCGTGTTCTGGGGATTTTTCGGGGTCCAGGGAACCGTTCCTAAGGCTTGCCTGGTAGGCAGCATGACCTGCCAGATAACGGATAGCGACTAGTGCGCATCAATAAAGTAGTTACTGTCGCGCTCTCTCTGCTCTGAAAATCCTCACTTCCACACGGCTGCACGCGGGCGTATTTCTAGTTCTTGTTCAACTGGAGTGTAAATGAATTTGATTGCTCTTTGCTATTTGTGAATGAAATACGTTTTCAAGTTCCATCATAAAGCTTTCTTACATTTCCGGCTGTCTGAATTAATAATGACTTATGCGGGTCCAAGTTAAGGCGGTTAATGCTTGTAATCATAGTCAATATTTGTTTATGATTGTTTTAAAATTTGAATGTTCCGCCACATAGATATTATGTATGCAACATTGTAAAGAAAGCAAGTTTCTCATTTTGTCCCAATATGTTTTTTTGGATACCAGTGGCTTTCTTAATTAGGGTTTTTTGCTTTAATTTATTTCTGAGATGAAACTAGTGAATTTTAATTCAACACTCAAGTATTGTCACTCCTAAGGGGTTGAGACGTATGCTCAAGTCTTCAAGCTTGTGGGTTAAAGTGAGAATCTCCACAAACTCTAAGTTCACCCGCTCTTTGGAAGCGTCACATCCCGACTACGCCTGGCAAATTGTGGTGACTACGAGGTCTGAGGCATGGATCAGTGTAAGGCGGAGTGTGTGTGTGTGTTGATGCGCCTTTATGTCAGGCACCATTTGTATTCAGCATGACGACCACTTCCGCAAACAACGCGACATAAACGAAGAATCTCTGCTTGTGAGATTCTGTCCTGGCGGCATTCTCAAACCTGTCGAGAGAACCCAAACAGAGCAACATGTAAGGCCTCTGAGGAAATTAGAAGTTGAGAAAATCATGGTAGGCTCGTAGATATCTCCTAAGTTGTGATAGTTTCCTGGACGATTCAATTGGAAAGCACTCACTCATTCAGAGAGGAAATGAGGAAAAGAGCTATTTTGCTGAAAAGCTTCACAAAGCTGCTACACCCAACAACATCATAATCAGTTTGCTTTGCGCCGTCCATTAGTATCAAAAATCGTCTTTAAATTCAATAAGCCTTAGACGATTTGCTGGTGTATGGATGAGATCTCTTAAGAGGAACAATCAGCATCAATAGAAACTCATACAAGTTCCGCGTGTCTCGTCGTCTGGGATTGGTTTTCATCATTGCCGGCATGACCTTTCCCCGACTACAGTCTATGCGATTTTTTGCTTTATCCATCCAAGGCTTACTCACTTTTTGCATCTTCATTGTAAAGGGGCAACTCTATTTGATTGCTTTATGATTTGACATTTAAATGAAAACTGCGCTGAATACGCCCTGGACTGCAGATGTTAATGCATTGCGAAAACAAGAAATTTGATTAAGGCACTTTCAATTGAATAAGGATGGCGAAAAATCCCAAATCAGTAGACACGCACGTAACCTTTTGCATTTGCATCAATCATAATTCGCACTTCCAGAAATTCAGTCCAAACGTGAGTTGAGGGCGCGCATCAAGACATAAATCACATTCCTGTGATTCTGCATATGACAATATCCGAAAGCATGTAGAAAAAGAAGGTGTAGAGGTTTCATTCTCCGTCCCAAGTTACATGGGTAAATCTATTTGCTCAGCAGAATTGATGGCTTTGGTTGTGTGCACATTCAGCGCCGATATTCTGCTGCAAACCATGCGAGTGCTTAAGTCATGTCGCCTCAGCTTCGT